GTCAAGGATTGGGAGGAGGTTATCCAGACTGATTTGAACGGGACGTTCCATTGTGCCAAGGCTGTTGGTGCGCATTTCAAGGAGCGCGGGACGGGGAGTCTGGTCATCACCTCGTCCATGTCGGGGCATATTGCCAATTTCCCGCAGGAGCAGACGTCGTATAATGTGGCCAAGGCTGGGTGTATTCATATGGCCAGGTCGTTGGCGAACGAGTGGCGGGACTTTGCGAGGGTGAATAGTATTTCGCCTGGTTATATCGATACGGGATTGTCGGACTTTGTGGATCAGAAGGTGCAGGATTTGTGGAACTCGATGATTCCGATGGGGAGGAGTGGGGATGCGAAGGAGTTGAAGGGGGCGTATGTTTATCTGTGCAGTGATGCGAGCTCGTATATGACGGGCACCGATCTGTTGATTGATGGGGGATATTGTGCTCGTTGAATGCAGCGCCGTTTCTTTTGTTTGGATCTGGAATTGGAACCCGTGGCCAACTAAATAAACATGATTTATAACAGGTGTGAAAAGCGTGTTTGTTGGATGAAGCTTCTCCGGGTTGATCATCAATATCATATGAGGCTATCGGATCTTCTAAATACAGGAACTGCGGATCTTATCCTCCGATATTTCGTCCTGCAACCTAGATTCATTGTAAAATGGCACCTTTACTATTGTAGAGAGGCACATAAACCCGGATGTCTGGAAAGTTCCATAGACGTACTTTGTGTCTATCGACCTCAGTTGGTACTATACTGTATCACGACACTGATGATAGCTGCGAGGAAAGAGTCCCGGAATCGCCGTCGAAGTGAGAAATGATTTTTCAAAGACAAGCGGATGGACGGGCCGTTAACTGGCGATGGTATCTCGAAAGAACAAAAGGAAGAATCGAACGAAATTAGCTCACAGGCATGGTATAACGCTGCATTCAAGTCAAGATTGTCAGGATCGGCTAACTGAAACAACGGGTATTATGCAGACCTGGTATCAAAAATCACGAAGCCGTGGAACAGTACAAAAGACAACTCGAGAAAAACCAAAATATTCAAAATAAATACAACCCAACCAAGGAAACGATAAGATATACAAATAGCAGGATATAGAGGTTTCAAATCCCTTCCGAATTTCGATTGAAAATCTCTGTCATGTCATGATATATAGGTATAGATCATGCCCATTGGCGTTTGTATCCATCATATATAAAAACGCAAAATGGGGCTCGGGTATCATCGGAATGTATCAAAGGAGATGCTTATGAGGCGGGGGCAGCGGGAGCAGGAGCGGCAGCTGTTTTGGTGGGGTCCGCAGTTGGTTCATCGGCTGGCTTTGCCGGTTCCGTAGCTTCAGCGGGTTTATCTTCAGTGGCTGTGGCTTCAGCGGGTTTAGCTTCAGTGGCTGTCGCTTCAGCAGGTGCCTCTTTGGGAGCGGGGGTTGGTTCTGGGGCGGGTTCGGCAGCTTTGGGGGCTTCAGTCGCTGTAGTGGCGGGGGCGGCGGTAGCGGCAGCGGGAGCAGGAGTTGGAGCAACGGCGGGAGCTGCAATCGGAGCGGCAGCCGGAGCGGCAGCCGGAGCAGCAGCTGGAGCTTCAGGGGCTACACACCATTATCAGTCATGATTGAACCATAGTACAGAATATTGAAGGAACGTATGCTCACCAGCGGCGGCTGCAGCAGGTGTTGGGGTAGCCTCAGCGGCTGCAGGAGCTGCCTCCTTGGCTGGCTCTGGTGCGGGAGTAGGCTCAGCGGGTGCAGGAGCTGCTGTAGGAGCTGCTTCGGGTGAAGCGGTCACTGGTTCCGCGACAGGAGCAGCGGCGGGAGCTGGGGCTGGTGGAGTCGTTGTATCCGCAGGCGGAGCTGGAGCGTCGGTTGCAGCCGCGGGTGTCGCCGCAGGGGCTGGCTCTGCTGGCGTAGCCTCCGCTGGAGGGGCCGTCGCTGGTTCAGCAGTTGCGGCTGGGGCCGCTGCCACCGAGTTTCGGTTCTTCCGGCCCTTGAAGAATTTCTTGAAACCCTTCTTCAGCTGGTCAAGCGCGTCGGGAGCTATTCGACGGTTAGTCTGGCCATGCCAGTGACTCGACAGTCCGCCAAATGTTGATCTCGCCTTCAGGGGAGAAGAGGCATGGAGTAGGGGTATGACTTACGAACACCAGGCATGATGGGCGGGGGAAAAGACAAGTAGCTATGTGCGGCGGCGGAGATAGGGGAAGAAGATAGGCCAAGTTAACACGGTCAGTAAGTAACTGTCCGTTCAAACACAATGCTCGGGTTGTTGTTGTCGTGGTTGTTGTTGTTGAGATGAGGTTGAGGTTGAGCGAGACAGCCGCTTATTAAGGAGTCACGTCTCCACAAATGTCAGGGACAGCGCACGGGCCAGGCCGGCCCAGAGCACGTGACATGGGGCTCCTCGCTGACTCAGCTGTCTGATACGCGTCTCCTTTTTTCCTTCCGCTGTCCCTGTCCACTCCTCTTCTCCCGTTGCCAGCCAGCTGAAACAATCTGCTGCGCTGGCGGTTATATTTATGTTTGTCTGTCTGTCTATCATCTGATTAATGGTCTCTATGTCTTGGAGACCTCAATCTGACACCATCTGCGTCCATAACCTAACATCATGGAGCACCTCGGTGGATGCTGATTTGTTTTCAAGCGGATGCTCCAGAAACCAAGGCCCTGTTCAGTGAAAAAACTGTTTCTGTTTATCCCCCATCATACTAGAGTGGAGTAGTATTTTTACAAACAGAGCTAAAACATGCAGATCTTGAAGAATCTCCAGAAATCACAGCCAGATCAGAGCTGAGGCCATGTTCAGTGCAGCCCAATTTTTAACAAAACATGGGAAGCTTCCCAGAAATAGGAAGATGCTTGGCAAAAAACTGCATAATTCTTCATAATTCTGCTGATATAATCAATAAAATACACTAAATTACAGTAATTTTGTAATTCTCAGTATACACTAAATTAGTGTGTATTAGTGTAAGAAGTGGAGAGACTAAACCTAATTAGGTAAGGTTTCTTCCCTGGAGTTATTAATTTTCTGCATCCAAAAGATGCTACCTGGAGGCAGCATCTTTTAGCTGAAGGTTTCTGACTTTTTGACTTTTTAACTATTTTTTAGCTTTTTGTATGTAAAAATACTGATCCACTTTTGCACCTCTCAGATGGGAAGGTAAGCTCTCTGCACTGAACACAGCCTGAGAGTCTGACTTCTGGAAACAGCTTTTCTCTTATTAAAAGTAGGCCCACCTTTCCTAGTTAAGCTATAGTCTCTCCCAATTCTCACTAATTCTATACTAAGTGGGTTAAAAACATACTAATTTAGTCTATACTAAGTAGTACTAAAAAACAGTATTTTATTGTATTTTATTGATTATATCAGCAAAATTATGTAGAATTATGCAAATATTTGCCAAGAAGTGTGTCTGGGAGAAACAAAAAGGAAGAACCAGTTTGATACTGAACAGGGCCCAAATGTTGGCTCTCTCTTGTCCGAACATGCCAATTTCCTTCAGCCAAGCCGCTATTCCGGGACATAGCCAGAATGCGACCCGCTGGCATACTACAGCCAAAAATGGCATGCATTGCCCGGCACCGGCGGGATCGCAGCCCTTTAGATCGTGAGGGGAACGGCCAATCTTATCTGCAAGATATCGGCTCTTGTCCCAACAGAGCTTAATTTCTGAGCCCAGTGCGGGGATACTGATAATAATATTGGAAACCGTTCCTTATTTGGTAGCCTCCCGCCAAGTTCCAAGGATTGAAATACCCTGTTCGGAACTATCCCATGGTTGGTTGGGAACCCTAATATCCAGAAGTCCCGCCTCTCACGAGCTTCGCAATCCTCCCAACAACCTTGTTCACAAGAATGGGTTGTTCCATACAATCTCTCTTGGCATGAGTCAGGAGACGGGAACAACACTGGAGAAAGCACTCGGTAATAACTCTCTCGGTCATATTGGACGATCTATTCGAAAATAATAACTCCCGCGGGACTTTTTATGATATGAATGCCACTATCTGAGCGGCGATTGTCCATTTGGCTAAGACTTTTCCATCTCCAGACTCGGCATACTTCTCGATTTTGCGGACGACCCTCAAAAGAGCCTCAAGAATCCGTCGCTTGCCTCCCACTGTTCTGATTTTGAGCGGTATGTTGGCCCCCGCATTCCTTGAGAGTCAAGACCGTACCCTCCCGCGCAGCTTGATCGAAATACGTCTTGCTCTCGGGTATGAAACTATGGAGTCACTAGATCCAACATGCTTTTAGCAGATTCACCGCCCCTCCTCAGCAAACGTCAACAATTGAATCGCGTTGCTAGTCTGTCCTCTCTTCTACGCAGAAATACATAGCCACCCAACGCTCCTAGTTGCTCGTGCCCACTCGATAAAGATGAAATCAAACGTTCAATCTAGGGCAATCCAAGGTTTATGTATCCTTCATTGCTGAAAGAACCATTTGCTTCGTTGAAAAAGAAAAAAAAAAACTTCATGAAGGCCTGACAGTTCCGGAACATCCGTTCTCCACTTCTTTGCATACTCGACTATCCAACCCCGCGCATGTTACACAGCACTATGTACCGAATGGTGGCAAACGGGGAGCAGCTTTCTGCCCCCCATATGCTAACCACGTTCGAACTCCAATGCCAAGTCAGCGCAGTTAAATCATCTCACATTACCGAGTCTATTTCCAACCGTTTGAACCGGCTGCGGTGTTACTTGTGTAATGGTTCCCGCTGTTCAGCCCTGGTTTTATTGCCTCCATAGCAAATACTATGCTAGGGATACAACAAAAGCACGCCATTTTATTCCCTTGATTCACATTGCACATTGTCCTTCTGTTTGTTTCCAAAGTGGAGAATGGTCGATGCGCTCAACCTGATAAGCTCGAGGATCGATGCACAAGTCCTACCTCTAAATCTCTGGAGGAATCTCAAAACCTCAACCCCATCCAATTCGGGTCCCGCCAAGACCGTGGTCCTATGGTCCATAAGTTGGCTCAACCGTCCAACCAACCATCCCATATGGTGTAGTGGCTAACATCAGCGTCTCTCACACGCTAGCCGGGGGTTCGATTCCCCCTATGGGAGTTTCTTTTTTTGGTTATGTTTTTTTTTTTCCTCATTCAGAGGTGTCGTCGTTGGCCCTCCCTATGGCTTGCTTGTTGCTTCACTCCGCTCTAATGGGTTTATGAGTGATTCTGCATCATTCATTGCTACGGTGAGAAACTTGGTTGTAGAGGGAAAATATGCAGGGCCAGTCCTCTGGGATAATCTGCCAGCGCCTATATATTTCACACGACTGTGAAAATATGCTCACAGTGGTTAGGGGTGTTATGCTTGATATTGGGGCTAATTTGTTTACAAATAGGCAGACGATGTCCCCTTCTCCTACAATTCCAATTTCTGGCTGACTGAGTATAGTGAACAGCAAAAGCATCAAAAATATAGTTTCGTCACTAGTTATTTCCCACTACTCGACCACTACTCTATCAATTCGTTATCCGCAAACCGCCCCCTGACCTGGAATTCCCCTCCCTTCGACACCTATCCTATTAAAACCGCCCTATCCACCCCATCTCGGCACCTCAAAACCCACAATCCGCCGGGGTCGCCTCAGCGATGGTCATATCCACCCTCCCCAGCTCCTCCGCCCGCCCACCGGTCAAATCATCCATCGCCTTCTTCGCCAAATTGAACCCGTCGCCCGCCTTATCAATCGCCGTTACGAAAATCTGCGTCCCCGTCGCCTCATAGGTAATGCTATAACATTTACCGCAGTTCGGGCTATCCCAGTTCTCGACAGAAAAGGCGGCGCCGACGTGGGGGAAGGAAGGGAGCTCGCCGACGGTGTCGTAGCCCTTGGTTACGAGGCCGTTGTTGCCGTTGGAACAGGAGGTACTGAGGAGGCTGAATGCGCTGTCGTCGTAGAGGGGTTCGAAGGCGACGGTTCGGACTTCTTGGGAGAGGATGAGGGTGGGGAGGAGGGAGAGGGAGATGGTGGAAAGGAGGGAGAGTTTCATGGTGGCTGGATTTCTTTTGTTTCTGGTTGGTGTGGAGATTGGTTCGAGGAGAAAGGAGTTCGATGTTGTCGTTGATAATAAATATTAAAAGTCGTATAAAACCGGGATAGTAACTTGAAACGATAGATTGAATGCGTAGATATGGAAAAAGGCCCGGAAACGATCGTAGAATCAATTAAATGGATGTAGATGATGATAAAGTGTGATGTGAATAGAATACTATGAAAAGCAGGTTCCCTTGACTCCTATTTATCCCTAAACTGATTCTTAGAAGCGTTCATCGGAAACAAAAGACACCACTGTCATTGTCATCATCCATAAGCTAACAGATCCTAGCTCTATCTGACACTGCTATTTTTACACCAATCCATCTAAGACATCCATCCCCAACCTCTACTGTCCGTCTCCACAGCATAGCTTCCCTTACCCTGCCCTCCCAGCCTCAATCCAGCAGTAAGCCGCTATCCGCCACCACCCATTGCACCTGACGTCGCCCGCTTGCTGACATGTCTCTCCTACAATTGAAATCATATCTCATCGCTACTCCAAAACAGAGACAAGAAAGCAAAAAAAAGGTACCATAGGCAGCCCTAAGCTGCATCTTCATCCAGACATAGTACTTACCGCAGATACCCTGAGTCTCTGACAAATGTCGGGTTGGAAACACTTGAGATGCGAGCCACCCACCCCATCCGCACGATTTCTCCCCAACGCATCTAGATGTGCAGATCATCTGCAGCCAAAACACCACCAATCCCGGCGATCCGGGGATGCAAAAGGTGGGATCCACTTTGCTAGGGACATTGCGGTTATGAGGGGCACCAGAGACATGTGCTGCGGTATCATTGATGCATGGTGATGGTGTTTGAATGGTTCACTGCTTGGGGGATGCTGCTATCCGATTCAACCGTACTATGTACAGTACCTACATACATACTTTGTGGTAGGTGACCAGGTGGGAAGCATGGAATGAGCAGGAGTCAGGTATACTTCTTGCAAATAAGCGTATTTCTTGTCGAATCAAGACGTTCATGAAGTATAACCCTCCGAAGCGCAACTCTTACGTCAAGAAAAGCCACTATTATGGTCCAAGACATTATTTGGGTAGTTAAGTTAGCAGCAAAGCTTTCATCAATTAGTAGATAGGTCAGTCAGCACAGCTGACGAGCAGTAAAATCTTTGAAGCGGAACATTGCCGTGCTGCTATTTATTGAGCTGCATCGGCAAGCAAACAAAAACAAAGTAAAACATGCAGCAGAATCTGATGTAACATCACAGGCGCAAAATACCATGCTGCAGTGCAATGTAATGCTGTCATTGTCATTGCCATGTTTCCTGCATGTTATGTACGTACATGAAGTCTCTGAGACATCGGTGGGGATTTTAAGTTTTGCTTGTTTTAAATAGTGTTTGCGGCTACTTTATGGTGCCTCAAATAGAACGGGTGGGCTGATTGCAGTGTGTAAACCCAATCGATTCGAATTAACCCCCAAAAAAAACTACTTTTCTAAATTTCTCAACAACCAGAGTAGATACAGAGATGTAGTTAATTGATAAAAGAATAGCACATTGAGATCTATCTAATGATATAAAAATAATGTTTTTTTTATTTAATTTGTAGTAGATATTTGATTTTCTATCCTGAACTATTCAGGAAAACTGAAACCCAAATAATTTGGACTAATAGTAACCATAGAATCTTTGGATTTTATTTAAGTTATATAAAATCTACATCATTATGTAGCTCTCAGTGAGATATTCTTTTATTAATTAACTACATCTCTGTATCTACTCTGGTTGTTGAGAAATCTAGAAAAGTAGTTTTTTTGGGGGTTAATTCGAATCGATTCGGTTTACACACTGGCTGATTGTTGCGCTGGATGGAAACCATAAAGTAAGCATAACAACCTCATGAAAAGGAAGACTAAAAGCAATTTTATTCTGAAACTTAAAGGCAGTCAATTATCGGTCATGCGATATATAAATATTACAGATACCCCAACACCTATTCCCCCCCCATCTCAGTCAATCGGATGGCTGCATTGAAGATGAGGCGTTTCAAACTTGAACCGTTGAACCCTGCTGGGCCAATAATCCCAATGCTAAGGAATGCTGCCATTTTTTAGGTAATGAAGCTTACTTGAAATCAAAATCATTCCTGGAAGATTAAACTTGATTGCTTGCACGTCGGGAAACCACAATGCCCTAGCCCTAACCTATATTTTGTGCCTGGGCTGGGTCCCTAAATGGCTGGGGGTCGCGGATCGTCTATATAAATATTTACACGAACCGAACCCTTGTAGATCTAGATGTGCATCGAGTTAATATTAATTTTCATCGTTAGTTGTTCAACTATTAAAAGGGGAGGGAGGTATATTCTCAAAACCCATTTTTCAGCACTTATTTGTATATATATTTATTTCGCTATTGTAACGTGTAAATGGAATGCCTACAGAGAAGAGGAGATTAAGCTATAATGTCATGTAATAGTATAAATCTAGGAGATATTCTTAAGCAATAAATGTAAAATGCTTTACTACTAGCTATAATGATGAAGCCTAGAAATATCCAATTTATCTGTGTCTGGTAACTAAGTTACTAGGTAAGCAAATCAAGCAATAAAAATGGCAAATCATAAAACATGACAAAAATAATCCACAGCCGGAATTTGCGATATGGAAAAAGATCTAAATCCCACATTTTGTCAACTCTTCCTCGAATCTCGAACGGTGTCAGTTTCGACATGACGTCAGGCGCCAACAAACTCGTGGCACGGGTGGGTCCGATCCATGAAACCTTAAAATTATCCACGAGGGAGCGACAATGCCACGAGGAATCTATCTACCAGAGTTGAAGAACATGTAGAGGTGAAATACTGGTCGAAGTGTTCATTTTGATATACTGTGACTGCCAGACTCCCCCACTGCATATTTAGTTTTACTAGAAGTTCAATAGCGGTGCATCCTGTAAGTGGGTGACATGACCAGGTTAAACTAGTTACTCATAGGATCTAAATAAAGCCTTCTCCTCTGCATGCTTAATCTGCAGCGAAACCGGTGGCTCTATTTTCTTCAAAACAGGGAAAAAGGGGGAGTGATCCTGTATATTAGCCGGAGCGCCATGAGAAAGGGCATACAGCCAGTGGCACTATGTATCTACTGAGCCCAGGTTATGTTCGGGCGCTGCTGATCTGGTGATATTCCCAAGGGCTCTGACAGGCTGCCACAAAAGTATTACAGTATGGTTGCAAGGAGAGATTGTAGTGGTAATAACCGTTATCTTGTTTCTACCCCCGGACAGCAAATAAAGCACACTTGAAAAGCTCAAATGTAAATCCCTGAAGGACGAGAATGGACATACTATTCTGATAGCGTTCCGCAATTGATTCTAGGAACCATTTGTGGTATATCTTCTGTTTTTGATCCATTTCTATTTGAAGTGATCCAGTAGTAGGATATGTTATCATAGATGCGTATTAGCCAAATCCGTGGTCTACATGCCATGGTGAGATGAGTACGGAGTACTTAGGATTTCTCTCCTCTAAAAAGCGAAAAAGCAGTCCCATCAATTTCAAAAGATACGCCCGCCTTCCGCCACTTGCTAGTAAGCGGAGCTTGGAAGAATAGTAACAAAGGAGTACTAGTAATAAACCGAACGGTTCAAGTTCGTAGGACAGGGAGATTATGTCAGCCTGAAGCGAATCGAACAGCATCCAATGCTGGCCACCGACGTTTCGTCAACGTCCGAGAACAGAAACATTGTCACTCCGCATCAGCAACTTGATGAATGATTTGGAAGATGGAGGTCTGCCGTCGACGATCAATGGCGTCTTCGGCAACTAAGCAGCCTCCCCCCCACTTCGCCCGGCCGCTCTCGGGCTGGTTTTGTGTGGCTAGTGTAACTAGCTGACCGGTTTAAATCAACCTCCCTCGTTTTGTTTCCTCTCCATTCCCCTCTTCTCGGCTGGAGGAATATTCAACTGTTGTTGTGGATGCCAAGTTAGCGACGACGACGGATTGATTTGGAACGAGCATCATGGCGGATTCAGCAGCAGCCGCAGCGCCGTCC